TGTACATATTTTTACAGCTTGCAGTTACTACTATAGGGATATTTATTTCTTATTCTTTCTGTTCCTTTTAACCATTATTATCTTCCTTATTACTTTACCTAAAACTTATGACCATTATCAATGTTATCATTATTATTATAATCATTACATTATCTGTCTTTAGGATTTTATAATCATAGAACTATAAGAGTAGCTGAAAAACGGAGCATCGGCTACAAAAACAAAATAGCATCAGATCTAAACTATATTATTATGAGTATGTATTGCAGTGCTTGCAGGGGGTGAAGATCCCAATTGATCCTATTATATTTCTGCTTTTACTCTGATGCCTTTTTCTTTTCCTTCTTCTTTCTTAATTACTGATTTGAGATGATTGGTTGGAAGTGAAGTAATTTTCTTTTTTCTTTTTTTACGATAAGTATAATTCTCTAATTTACTTTTTATGTTTGAATTTATCTATAATACTTTGCACTGCAGACAGTAATATTGAAACAATAATATTACAGACATGCATGAACCCACTTGTGTCATGCAAACATCTTTACCCTTTAATCTGATCCCACTGCCAAGCAACATAGACACCATACTACCAAATAACCCTATAATCCCACCGCTGCCACCAAACGAACCTCAATCTCTTAATCCAGGTCTCCTAATCACACCAAGAAGACGAGATAATAGAATCCTAAACTTACCTGAAAGGATCGGAGAGAAAGGCGTATAAGATTGGATTGACACAGGAGTTGATGTAGGCTAGGACCTGAGCCGCAATCTGCATGATGATCTGGAAGGTTGTCATCTGGTACATCCCCAGGGACTTGAGCAACAGCACCAGCTAGAATGGGCGAGTGAAAAGGCTGAGTGAATACCCCAGTTTTACATATATGTCTTAAAAATAATGATACTGAAGATGATAATAAAAGTATTAATAATAATAATAGTAATAATAATAATGATTATATTAATAATGATAACAATAAGAATAGTATTAAAAATAATTATTACTGTTATTATTATTATTATTATTATTACTGATGATGCTAAAAGAATGAAAATATTACTGATAATGATACTTATAATGACCATCATCATAATACATATAATAATAATGATAATAATAATAAATGATAATAATGATAATAAAATAAATGATAATAATGATAATAATAATAAATGATAATAATGATAATAATAATAAATGATAATAATGATAATAATAATAAATGATAATAATGATGATAATAATAAATGATAATAATGATAATAATTATTATAATAAATATTATTTAGATAGAAATGACAAGCAAAGTTGTGTGTGTGTGTGCACGCGCGCGTGTGCGTGCGTGTGTGTGAATCCTCACGTCCGCAAGTATGAACAAACTACAGCAAGGAAATTAAAGAAATTGTGCAGTCCAGTCGGTCTCGCCAACGACTCTAATCTTCAGTAGTCCTCGCTGTTCTACAGTTCTCACAAATCCTTACAATCCACCCTAGTCCCCACAATCCTCCCAGTGCTCACCTGGATGGGGAACCAGCAGACAATGAAAGTGACGACCACGATGACCACCATCCGGGTCACTCTCTTCTTGCCCCTAATACTCTCGGCGCTGCGGTTCCCCCCGGGCTGCATGCCGAACCACAGCCGGTTCAGGATCAGCAGGTACAGAACCACGATCACCGTCAACGGCAGGAAGTACATGCTGGTGATGAAGGCGATCTGGGGGGGGAGGGAGAGAGGCTCATGTGGTTACAGGATCGCGGTTTGTTCGATTGTTTGTTATGGTGGAGTGTTGCTCATTTTTCAATGTTTGGGTTAACTGATAGAAGCGGTAAAGTACCTTCAGACAAAATGTATAAACAAATAAAATACAAATACATGCGCACGCACGCACACACGCACACACACACACACACATGTGTATGTATATATATATATATATATATATATATATATATATATATACAAATAAATCACTGAATAAATAAACAAATATATATATCTGTGTGTGTGTGTGTATGTGTGTGTGTGTGTGTTTGTGTGGGGGTATAACACACAGACATACATACATGCACACACACACACACACACACATATATACATATATATATATATATATATATATATATATATATATATATATATATATATATATATATGTATGTATATATATATATATATATATATATATATATATATATATATATATTTATATGAATATATATATATATATATATATATATATATATATATATATATATTATATATACATTTATATGAATATATATATATACATTTATATGAATATATAAATATATATATATATATATATATATATATATATATATATATATATATATATATTATATATATGTACACACACACACACACACACACACACACACACACACACACACACACACACACATATATATATATATATATATATATATATATATATATAAATTTCACACACACGCACACACACGTATACATATATATATACATACAGAGAGAGAGAGAGAGAGAGAGAGAGAGAGAGAGATGATCAAGTGTTACCGCAGCGTGTGTCTGCATTTATTAGTATGATCCCATGCGTACAGGATATGATTACCTGAGCGTGTCCGCCCCTGCACGAGTCTCCTCACACGCATACTCACGTGGAAAGCCATATGATTATATTCCTCGTTCAGGAAGCTGCACGTGATCAGGATCTCGTCGTCGAAGTTGATCCTTTTCGTGCCGTGGCATCTGTACACGGGGATGCACGAGCCCAGGATCAGGATCCAGCTGCCCGCGATGGCGTACAGTGCGTTGCGCTCCGTGCGAACTGGCCGGGAGAGCGAAGCAGGGTTGGTTTCGCTTTGACTCGCTTTTATGCTTCGTTTTGTTTCGTTCTGTTTAGTGTTTTTGTTTGTTTTGTGGTTCGTATTTTTTTTCTTTTTTCTTTTTTTTATTGAATCGTTTTGTTTCGTTCTGTTTAGTGTTTTTGTTTGTTTTGTGGATTGTATTTTTATTTTTGTTTTGTGTTATATTTTATATTGACTCGTTTTGTTTCGTTCTGCTTAGTGTTTTTGTTTGTTTTGTGGTTTGTATTTTTTTGTGTGTGTTATATTTTGTCTTGTTTTGGGTTTTGTTTTTGTATTTTAAAGCTTCGTTTTGTTATCTTTTATTTTGCTTTGTATTTTAAAGCTTCGTTTTGTTATCTTTTATTTTGCTTTGTATTTTTTGTCATGTTTTGTGTTTTGCTTGTTTGTGTGTGATTTACTTCGCTTTATTTTGAGTCTTGCTTTTGTTATAATATGCTACATCATTCTTTGTTTTGGCAGTTTTGTCTGTTTTCCTTATGGAAAGGAGTTTTCATTATTACTATTCTTATCATTATTATCGGCATATTTATTATTATTATTATCATTATTACTAGTAGTGTTAGTAGCAGTAACAGGAGTAGTAATATAATTCCTTTCATATCATAATTAATATTAACATAACTATTATTAGTTATTGTTATTATTATTATTATTATTATCATCACCATTACTATTGCTATTATTATTATTACAGTTATTATCATTATCATTGTTATTATTACTATTATTATTATCATGATCATCACCATTTATGTCTTTATCGCTATCGTTACTATGATCATTATCGTTAATATTATTATTATTATTACCATTATTGTTGTTGTTGTTATTATTATCACCATTATTTTTATTAGTATTATTATTATCATTATTGCTGTTGTTATTATCATTACCATTATTTTTATTAGTATTATTAATTTACCATTACAATCACTGGCATCCTTATTACCATCAGTACTTTCATTGTCATCATTATCATTCATATTATTATCATTATCATCACAATAATTATTATTAGCACTCTTTCTGTAATAACTATTATTAGTTATTTTCATTAGTATTGCCACTGTCACTATCTTTATTATTATTATTATCACTGTTATCATTACTATTATATTTATTATCATCATTATTTTTATTATCATCATTATTATTACTACTAGTAGAAGTATCATTATTTTCAGTAGTGTCGTTATCTTCATTACTCTCATTATCATTATTATTACTATTATCATTACTATTATTATGACAATTATTAGCATCATTACGAGAAATAGCATAATTAGTTGTGCTATTATCATATTAGTGCTATAATCATTATCATTAATATTATTACCATTATCATTCTCATATCAGCAACAACTATCTGTATCTCTATTAATTTATTATTTTATTTATTCACTTATTTATTTTCATCTTTTATCATTATTCCTTTTATTTATTATTATTATTATTTTTTTACTCAGACCTTCCTAACCAATCCAAAAGAATCACTTCCCCCACTCACTTGTCAAGGCAGCTATCGGATGAACCACAGCGAGGAACCTATCAAAGGACAGGAGTAGCAGCGTGTAGACCGAGGCATACGCTGTAACGTACGTGAGATACTGCACCGTTTGGCACCACACTCGCCCAAATGGCCAAGACTTCAGCATGTAGTCTGAAGCCGTGAAGGGAACGCAGAAGACGATAAAGAGGAGGTCCGCCGCTGCTAGGCTGAAATTCGGGGGAGAAAGAGAGAAAGAGAGAGTTAAGTGTGGCTCGTGGCTCGGTTGTTATCGTTGGGTCTTCGTGTGGGAATGATTTTGAAGGGTTATTGGTGTTTTTAAAATGGTTGTTAGTAACTATTGTCGTTGTTGTTGTTGCGTTTGTTGCTGTTGCTGCTACTGCTGTTGTTAGTGTTGCGTTTGTTGTTGTTGATGTTGTTGTTGTTGATGTTGTTGTGTTTGTTAGTATTTCTATTACTGTAATCATTACAGTTATTAGCATCATTTTTTTATCATTATCATTATTGTTGTTATTATCTTTACCATTTCCATTATCATTATCATCATTATCATTATTATTGTTATCATTATCATTAAAATCATTATAAATATCATCATAAAAATAATAATGATAACAATATCAGC